GAGTGCCACGTAGAGATACGATGGGGAGTAAGGGCACCCCTGGCTTGTGCACTTTTTTAGGCCATAGAAACGTGCCATTGCTGCATCTGTGGCCTTTGCAGCCTTCGCTTCCCTTCTCGTCAGGGCTCCTGTCTTCCTTAACTTGTCGATCGTCTTATTAATGGCGTTTTTAAGTTTATTCAATTCGCTGTCAGTCGATGTCACATACGAATCCTCGTATATCAACAGATTGTTTACCTTCGCACAGTAAGTGCTGTAATAAAGCATAAATACGATGTTGATAATCACAGCTGCGTGTGAGCAACTGTATGAACAACAGAAATCTGATTCACAAGGGGCAGTTATTCAAAAATAATGGTCAACCATATTTGTTAAGTACAATGAACGGAGAAACAAATCCGTGAAAAAACCCATATAAGGGAGATCAGACGCAGAGTTCAGCAAACCCCTGACTTCAAAAAAGGAGCAAAAAATGGATTTTCTTATTAATATGAACCTACATTGATATGATGCAGTACAATGGAATCATGCTGTTGATGCGAACGTGCGAGGATTCTGAAAGTCTCATTTCATGACCGTAAGCGTATAGTATAATGCGGGTGCGACAGAAGGAGCTAATCGCGGCAACGGGCCCAGCGGGGACAATGGGATCGAACCAAAAAGGAGACAGTAGAGGCCATGAAAACATCGCCGAAGTGTCCAACTGCGATCAAACATACTTCAGAGTCCACCGACAAGTCAGCGAAAACATAAGAACCCACGACGATCATCAAGAGAGACCTCGATGACCACGGTCAGGGTTGCCCAAAGGAAAGGAGTTAGTGGCTTTTGGACGTGAAGGTTGACTCTGCAAAGGATAATGCAAACATATAAAGAAATCAAGTTAATACCATGAGAAGAAAAGTAAATACCAGAAGGATCCCTTTCAAAGTCCATACGTTTCGTGCCTTGGATGGGAACAGACAGTAAAGACTGCATACCTTCCACATTTAAATGGAGTGGCAGTCTGATTTTTGGCATGTCGGCAGTAGCAGCAGTACCAGTAGTAAAAGTGGAATTTACTAAGGATAAAAGCGGCCATAATGGAGGTGTCACATGAGAGAACGCGCAATTAAATTGACTCCAACGCCTGTACTCGAGTTATGCCCATAACAGAGACTGTCGTAGCTGTAGCAAAGGCTGGACCGCCGACATCCTCGTGGACATCTTACCCACTTGTGCCTTACTTTGTTTTTTTATTTATGGATGGAAGCACGTGGGTTAAGGGATTGCTTTAGGGCTCACTGTCAAGTCCTGCCAGCAGCCTTACAGGGTTTAGCAGAATTGCAGGATAGGAGGCACCATAGCGATACCGACAAGAATAAAGCATACTGGAGTGGTAATTTTTAGTTTATTGGCCATCATCATCAGCCAGCCATAGCCAACCCAAAGTGTTGTGGCACCGGAGGCTCGAATCCGCGATCTTGTTGGCTAGACGTTCAAATTTCTACTCGGTGAGCTTTATTATGACCCGTCAATTTATTAATGCTGCCTATACTGTATTACGTATGTTCCACACCTATTGCAACATTTTACGATAAGTATGTGGCTTATTCCTCAAAATGTTGGCAAAACCGTTGATTTCTTTAAACAGGATGTAAACAGTGCGCAGTTTGTAAAACTTTAAGTGTAAAATTTAAAGAATGCATAATTTGCTACCAAAGGAGTACAGGAAATGATTGTTTCGTTAACGTTTTCTATCAAATATATTTGAATTTATGGAGGCAGTGAAAATCAATGATAAATACATATACTATTTAAGTTATCACTTTTTCCAGTACATAGATTTTGTTATTGGTCAGAACAAAGATCATTTAAAAATGCTCGCATCCTATCAGGACTGAAATAACTTTAGAATAGACTACACGATAGTATGTATCACAACCTGAATCGATGCTGATTAGCAACAGAGTATCAATGTTTCACATATGTCGGCCTGTTGCACGAATTCTGGCGCGTACTGTAATTCAAGTCGTTATGTGACTTCCTGCGAAGGCCGTATAGTCATTTCTAAAGCCGAACATTATTTTTCCTTCACCAACTCGGTGAGCACCATACTATCATCATATGTCCGATCACCACCGACAAAACAACGAGCCCGTTGTTCAATGGCAGAGAATTAAAGTCAGTGACCGCAGGTGTGCATGCGTAGGTCGTCGCATTTTACGCCTCCTACATCAGCATCATCGGCACAAGTGCCATTCGTGTGCCATTGTTTACGTTGGTTTTGGTTCTTTAGGGCTAAGTGACTACATGCACGACCATGACGACGTGGCAGTCGAGTTAACCACGCTCGCAACCACTTTTACAGTGCCGCCAGGGTACGGGCTACGCAGACGGTGCCTTAAAACGACCTTATAATAGGAACGGCTCAAGATACAGGCGTCTTTGTGCTAAATTTACGGTTAAATTGGGTTAGGATTTTGGTTAGAGGTAGCTGTAGAATTATGGCAGTTTCAGCTTTTCAATTTTCCCAAAAATTAATTGGTGAACTTAGAACATATTAGTGCAGTTAATGTCTACATGCATGGACGAAAATTTTATGCAAATATTTGGGCTGAAGTCTATCTGCTACTGAGGGATAATCACGCTATTTTACAAGTTGCCAACAGACAGATAGAAGTATAGTTTATATTCCTATACACTAGAACACACGCATTCTAAGAAAGCAAATTAATTTTATCCCAAAGAATATTTTCTTCAAATTATAAATTATATAATTATGTATTGAACTGGTGGCAGAAGTACTGTCGAAGGCTCCAGAAAGATGGGTTTCGCAGATATTTTGTTGCTGCTTGACACAAATGCGAGGGTTCTGGTTGATTAGTGGGTCCCCCCAGCAGTCCCTGTGTGCCTTCTGATAGCCACTCCAATTTTTCAATTTAAGGTTTTAAATTTTCTCAGAAACCAATATTCTCATTCGAAGTAGCTCAGTATGTTTAAGGTGTACTTGAGTAGCTGCCAGCAAGGACACAAGGAATGCTGGGGGAGCCACTGATAAGCCGGACCCCTCGCATCTGCGTCAAGCATTGACAAGGTACCAGCGAAACCCTCGTGTCTGGGCTTTTTTTGTCTGTGCTGTTGTTAGTTAGCATTAGGGTTTAGGGCAGTGCTAGATTTACGATAACGGCTAAGGTTATGATAGGCATCGGGTCAGGTCAGGGGAATATGTACCTTGCCTGATTTTTACGCACAGAGCCTTGGTTATTATTTGAGTTGTACTCATGATCTGTTTGATAATACAGGAGAGCAGTTGGCGAGCATAGGTAATTTTTCGATAAATTCTCCTCCGGTCATTGCATTTATAACGGAAACGGGGTCAAAGCTTAACGTGGGGTCAACTATGCTCGGTATATGGGGGGCGGGTTTGAGGGTCGAAATGAGACGACTGGTGACGCGGCGGGGGCGTTCCCGAGCGAAGTGGGAAGAAAGAGCGCACACGGATGAGTGCATGTCTTAAAGCGACTGCTAGTCATGTCAGGCGCGGAGCTTGCAGCAGGTCCCTTTCTGCACACAAGACCGGATATGTTCCCAGAAGTAAAAGCTAGAAGGAGGCAAAACCGGTTCTGACCGCAAGAGTCTTCATTCACGAGAATACAGAGCCAGCAGAAGAATGAATCAGCGTGTCCACTACAACCTAGTATGAGGCGCTGGCCCTTCTAGACTGTGCCTGGCCTATCGCACGAGAGGAGGGGTTGTGGCGTGGTTTCCCACGCTGCATGACGTTCTAGAACATCGCAGTGCACGTAGGGGCGGGCGTCACGTGTGCTCATGGTGCGCGCGACCGGCCTGTGGGCATGCCTTAACTGGCGTGCACTTCTCGTTTCCATAACAAGACCGAATTCCACAACCTGGTAGCGGCTGCTTCTGCTGTTGCTAGTAAACGCTGACCCAGAGACTTGAGGTAATTTCGTGGGACCTTATCGAAAGAAGTCCAGCATCTAAAATTTATTTTGCAGCACAACACAAGCGTGCAGAAGCTGGTCTAACTCATGCAATGTCATGATTAAAATATGCAGTCGTAATTTGGTCTTTATTTTTTCTTATTATTCTGGTACGATGACTACAGTTAAGGCTTAGGAAGCCGTTTGAATTAAGGTTTGGTTTCAATCTTAGAGCGCTCGCAATCTCACATAAGAACGTAAATGTAATGAACTCTATCGACATAACTCCAGTATAAAGAGAAAAGTGAGTAATTACATTTTGAGAAACCGGTCAAAGATGTCTAATGTTACTTTGAGTTTAACTTTGACAAAGGTAAGTTGCACAGATATGCACCAGCTGAATATCAGTATTGGGTTTTTACTGTCTGACTTACTCGACAGATATAATCCAGACACATTCCCCCTCCCAATTTGTTTGCCTTAGATGGTGTTTGCCTTAGACGTTTTACACCGTTTGTTGCTGCCCACAGCGTTTAAATTTCCTACTTTAATGGTTGCCCCTTGGCCATTTCTTGGGACCTTAAAGTTTTTGTATCGATTTGGCTGAATGAATTCAATTCTGTATTTTCTCATTCGTTACTCAGTTTATGCAGCGAGTGGATGCTGCCGATGGGCGCTCGCGAAATTTATGGTTCCATTCAATTCTGCTAAATAGGCAATCTTCAAATTTATATCTGGGAAAAGATGCTTTAAATAATCCAGCACCATCTGCAAAAAAGGATATCCAAAAACTCGCGTATTTCCTAATTTTTTTAAGGATATGTATTATTTTGAAATTTATGCTCAACGCAGAAGAGAATTCAGGGTTTATAAAAAAGGCTTGAGAGCACGAAACGTCACGGATAATCTGAAAATAATTGCAATCCAGTACCCGAATTGTGCTTAAATAAATTTTATAACGGGAAAGTTCCTTTAATATACCTACCTGTTTATGCTAACGGTTTCAAATGACAATTACATTTACATTTATTTATCGCTGTAGTAGAGCTTTTTAACGTTTTATGAAGAACTGACCTACAGAGCCAATCAGCGTGTCAAATTCCAGCATCTTCGTTAGGACAAGATCTGCTGCCATGCCGTTCTCCCAACCACATTATACAAGAGGCATTTTTATTTCCCGAAATCTAAGCTCTAAACTGTCCGGGGCCCTCAAATATCGAACAGCCTTTTACTACGTCCGCCGAGAATGGGATTCAAAGTGCATTTCGGAGCACACCGGGTCTTTGATACATTTTGAAATCACAAATTCAGTGCGTGGAGCGGACTGAGGCCCGAGAACGTTAACCATCTGTTCTAGTGTGGATATCCAAAGTCCATATTTCCAGCTGCTGATTGTGAATTCATTTATGGACCAACCTATCACTTCAAGACTGTTGTAAGTCGCAATAAAAATGCAAAGACCTGTGCCTAACTCAGCTTAGACAGATCTTTCAAATGCCTCGAAAACTAAACACAAAACCGAAAAAAGAGCTCTTTGCAATCGGCAGAAAAGGGTTGTTTAGAAATTCCTCGCATAAACCCACTCGTTTTCTCGTCGTTCGTAGGTACTCAGACTCCGACAATGAGGGTCAACTTTCATTTGACGAAAATTGTGACGTCATTCGACAGGTTTAAATTAACTGAATTAGGCTACTTTAAGGAAACTGCAAACTGGTGTGCTTGAACCCCTCCGTCTACGTTAATTGTTCAAAAAAACGATTTTTAT